AGATAGAAGAGTTTGTTGAATCTGACGTGACATGTTCGTACGAACCCTTTGTACGAACAAAAGTAAGAGAAATTTAGGATAAGAATACGAACATGTTCCTGCATGAGGCCCAGTGTCTCTAAGTGGTGACCAGGGTGGTTTTATTGCCAGTTCAGGATTATCAGAGGCCTACATCTTCTCCTTCCTTTAAAAACCCTGTTGAGGCAGCCACGTTTTACAGAAAGAAAAATTTAACGAAACATTTGTCTCACTCGGTTCACAACAACGTACCTGAATGATGTACACTTCTTCTCTGCCGTTGTACCACACCTCAAACTTTTTGTTGTCTCCTTTGACGTTCTCCGTTATCCCCACAGCACTCATCTGAGGAGACAATGAGAAACTAAGATGCAGAAACAGCGGGGGACACCGTCAAGATGCACCTGACCAAAACTAATCATAGAGTCATTTGTGAGGCTTTCTTTAAAATCAGTTTAACCTTAAATAAAACTTGGATCACTCTGGCCTGTAAAAAAACCTCAAAAGAAATTGAGAAATTTAGTTCAATATTTAGCTTGCAACTTAAATATTTAGCTAGCCACCTAAATATTTAACTTAAATATTTAGCTAGCTACCTAAATATTTAGGTTGCAACTTAAATATTTAGCTAGCCACCTAAATATTTAACTTAATATTTAACTTGCTAGCTAAATATTTAAGTTGCAACCTAAATATTTGGATAGTTTGCTAAATATTTAAATAGCTGGCTAAATACTTAAGTTGCAAGCTAAATATTTAGCTCAAAACTAAATATTTAAGTCACAAGTTAAATATTTAGCTTGTTAACTAAATATTTAATTTTTAAGTTAAATATTTGGTTTATAAACTATGACATTTATAAAGGTATGAATCATATGGTGAAACACTGACTTTGAAAAATAAATCTGTTCTTTTTTTTTATAAAAGGCTAAATAAAACAAAAATATTGGTGGTAATTTTTGACTGTGTAACTTTACGAATGGCACCCCATAGAACCTATTGTACATGTTTTTTGGTTTTTGGATTAGGCACAATGTGGAGTCCATCATGTCACACTGGGATATACTGTTGATCATTTGTCAAACTCAAGGCCCACTGGCCAAATGTGGCTCACAGCCTTTTATGTGGCCCGAGAGCTTCAAAGACATAAAAAATGTCCTAAATGAGCGTGTGCTGCTTTAAAGCCAGCACTGACAACAAACTGTCAATCATTTCACCTGTGAAGTGATGGCATCCTACCACTAGGTGGAGGTGCACATGGTCCAAAAATAGCCTACAGCTGGCAAAATTCACCATGTAAAATCTCCATTTCATTGAACTTCTGTCGGCTACTTTTGCTGCCTCCCAGTTGTACTCTGAAGAGGGAATTTCGTACTTATAAGTCGTAAATTTAAACTGGAATACACCTCCAGTAGAAACTCAACGTTGGAAAGTGGGAGAGTTCAAAATTCAAGATGGCAGCTATTCACCACAGCTAACAGTAAGTAAAACTCTCTTATTTTTTACCTTTAATAATATTTTGGTATTACTTAATTCACATTTAATCAGTCGTACACACAGTAGTTTTCAGTTTTCGCTGTTTTTTTCACTTCAAAGTGAGCCAATCCCACTTCCACACAGCAGCTGCAGAGTCTGACCTTCAGTAAGTGTTTAAAGCTGTAGGTCGGCGTCTTCTCGTGTCCCTCTGCGCTCTCCTCTCGTTTCTTACAGAACAGCAACATTTTGTCATACAGAAACAGGTGCCTCTGCATGGGCTTAAATCTTGCCAGGTCCTTCACCTGAAACAAGAACATTATTTCTTATTCCATGTACTGGAGGCTTTTTCAGCTTCACTGAAAGGAGTCCCAGAATAAAATTCTACTTAGGGGCTATTACCACCTGGGTCTGGTTATAGTGGACAGCCATGAGCTGAAAACGTAAATGTTGATGCATGATGTGACTGTGTCATGGTGGGCCTGTACTGAAAGTGTACAGCTTAAAAAAAAACTTGTTTCCATCATGAACTGTGAAATTAGCTTCCCCTGCTGAAAATTAGTTCAAGATATAAGTTAATATAAGTTATTTTGCTCATCCTGATAAAAAAAACCTTTGTTTAAAATGATTCATTTTCTGTGTTCACAGCTGGATTAAGGTGAACTTAAACCAAATCTACTAGCAGCTCTGACCTCTTTGTACAGCCATGTTTTTTTTTACTCATAAAGCTCCCTGGTGAAAATAAAATGTAACTCATGTGGTACGTCCTCTACCAAAATGCGTTAGCTTAACCATAAGCCAACTGAGCATCTCTCCATTGCTTTTGTATCACTTTTAAGTACTGTAACTAAAACACCTTTAATATATTCACTGCAAAAACTGTCCATCTCACCAAGTTTTAAAACCTTATATCCAGCCGAAAAGTCTTTTTGATCTTGTTTTGAGACTGATTTACTAAACAAGGACTGACTGTGTAAGAATAATAATCTTGTTTTCAGAATGTGTAAGATTATTTGTCTTGTTANAGTTTTTGCAGTGTTTGAAGTAATAAAATATGAATGTGACCTCTCACACTGAACCAAGGATTAACCTCCAAAGCTATAGATGTACTGGTTAAAATATTTGCAATAATTAGTCAAAAATAAAATTAATAAATACCTTATCTACTTATCCTTTATATGAAATATCTGTAATATAATCTTTTAAGATATTTTTTGCAACCATTTTTGAGCAGTAGCAACAAAAAAATGATTTTGAGCCAAAAAGCCTTTATTTTACTGCAAGCTAGCAAAGTCGTTTTTTCCCAGTTGGTAAATGTTAAAAACCAATTGCTGGTTTCTTCTTTAAAACGACATGAAATATCCTCATTAGAATAACTAAAAATAAAATTCAGACTAAATATTAACAAGTTATCGCCCATGATATCAGGATGATCCAGATATCAAAAAGCAGGAATCTAAAAACGTTCCGATGTCATTTTGACCAAATTTGACTTAATCTTCAGTTTGATATGATGCGTCACATATTTGAAATAAAAATTGTAACAAACACTGTAAATGTGCAAAAGCATTATTCATTTTATATGTTAACTTAAGACAAAAACACTGACATTCAATAACTGATAACAGAGTCTAAGTAAGGCTGTAAGGTGTGGATGTACCTTGCTGTGGCCCTTCTTGTGGTCAGTCCATACGTTAAAGGATCCCTGCATCAGCAGCTTCCCCAGTTCACTCAGGTTTCCCTGTGAACATTAAAAACCATGACGTCAGACTTTTACAGCAGACAAAGGTTAAACTCACAGCAGTCAACAGCTGCAGCCATGTTTGTGCACAACCCCTCGTGAGAGGATTCAACTATAGATCAAATCCATAAAGATAAAGATAATTTGTTTGTATTCTATCACTAAATAAAATACGTTTCTGCACCAAATGGGTCAAGCTTGAGCAGAATGTAAAAATCTGATCATCGATACTGTTCATCCACTTTTACATTCAGTGTCACCGTTCCTGTGATGCGACCCCTCTAACCACTGCTCCACAGTTTCGTTTTAAATTTAGGAGATTTCATTACAATATACTGCAGTACATTACAATACACTTCAATCACTCACCCATTCACACACTTAAAACAGACAACAGACTCTCACATTTTTCTTAAAGGTAATTAACCAAACATCTGTGTTTTTGGACTAATCAAACTTAAATAATTAGAGAGAAAAAAACAGTTTAACCAGATCCTAAATTTATTTTTGTGTTTTCTTCACTTGAAAACAAAACAAAACAAACAAAAAAAAAACGCAAATAAATCAACTTTTTAAAACTCACCTCAAATCCAGTGATGGCTATCTGGTGCATGGAGTCGTTGACGGACTTAATGATGTCCAACATGGTGGCTAAAGCCTCTTCCAACTCCACCATCCCCTCCCCCTTACTACACTTCAGCATTTCCTGATTGACAAGTAAAAAAAGGTGGCCAGGGTGGTGTGTGTGTGTGTGTGTGGGGTGGGGGTGGG